GGCTACACTTCCTTCACATCTTCCTATAAACATGCGGCCAGTGAACTCTCCTGTTCCAGCCGACGCCTCGCGCAGAATCTGCAGGATCAGAGCGCTTTAACACACACTGCAATCTCACGTATATGATCGGTCACATGATCCAGAAACACACAATCACCCTTACAAACACCACAGACAGCTTCTGCTGTCACACCACGGGCCGCTCACACCACGACGACAACGAGAACGATATACAGCTCTAAACATCGTTCTCAGTATTAAAGAATAGCAGAGTTCACACCACAGCTGTAACGATAGCGATATAGAGAAACGACATCGTTGGGATCACTTTTTCCAGCTGTCGAATGATAAAACAGCCAATCAGAATTCACTCAAATTTAAAGGACTCGCGCATTTAAAACGGCAGACGACATCGTGGAGAAGATAACCGCGAGGTCCAGAGAAATCACCAGTGTTGACAGGCAAGCCCGTGTTCAAGAGAATGGATATGGAAAACAATCGTTCGTACCCGCTGAATAAACGGTTTCCAGCGGCCGTCTCCTCATCATCGTCTTCCTCTGCAGTCGCGGTGAAGAAGAGTAGTGTTTTTACTGCACTATATCGACTCGTCAGCTAAACTCGATTCCGCTAGCTTCACTCGACAGCATGCTGAGGACACCTGCTGGCTACAGGACCGAGGAGCATCAGTGACGTGCACACACTCTGAAACCGCAGCGCGCTTAGAACACACACACCGCTATCGCTATCCCTATCGCTATCGCTATCGTTATCCCTATCCCTATCGCTATCGCTATCGCTATCGCTATCCCTATCCCTATCCCTATCCCTATCCCTATCGCTATCGTTATCCCTATCGCTATCGCTATTGTTATCCCTATCCCTATCCCTATCCCTATCCCTATCGCTATCGTTATCCCTATCCCTATCGCTATCGCTATCGTTATCCCTATCCCTATCCCTATCCCTATCCCTATCCCTATCGCTATCGCTATCGCTATCGTTATCCCTATCCCTATCCCTATCCCTATCCCTATCGCTATCGCTATCGTTATCCCTATCGCTATCGCTATCGTTATCCCTATCGCTATCGCTATCGCTATCGCTATCGCTATCCCTATCCCTATCCCTATCCCTATCGCTATCGCTATCCCTATCCCTATCCCTATCCCTATCCCTATCGCTATCGCTATCCCTATCCCTATCGCTATCCCTATCCCTATCGCTATCCCTATCCCTATCGCTATCGCTATCGCTATCCCTATCCCTATCGCTATCGCTATCGCTATCCCTATCCCTATCCCTATCGCTATCGCTATCCCTATCCCTATCGCTATCGCTATCCCTATCCCTATCGCTATCCCTATCCCTATCGCTATCGCTATCCCTATCCCTATCCCTATCGCTATCCCTATCCCTATCGCTATCGCTATCGCTATCCCTATCGCTATCGCTATCCCTATCCCTATCGCTATCGCTATCGCTATCCCTATCGCTATCCCTATCGCTATCGCTATCCCTAGCTATCGCTATCGCTATCGCTATCCCTATCGCTATCGCTATCCCTATCGCTATCGCTATCCCTATCGCTATCCCTATCGCTATCGCTATCCCTATCGCTATCGCTATCCCTATCGCTATCCCTATCCCTATCCCTATCCCCATCGCTATCCCTATCGCTATCCCTATCGCTATCGCTATCGCTATCCCTATCGCTATCGCTATCCCTATCGCTATCGCTATCGCTATCCCTATCGCTATCCCTATCGCTATCCCTATCGCTATCCCTATCGCTATCGCTTTCCCTATCGCTATCGCTATCCCTATCGCTATCGCTATCGCTATCCCTATCGCTATCCCTATCGCTATCGCTATCCCTATCGCTATCCCTATCGCTATCGCTATCGTTCGCTGGTGTGATCGGCCCTAACATCTATGAACACCCATAATGAAATATATTCTGATAATTATCATTACTTGGATTGTCCTGATAGATGAACAGCCTCAGCTCAAACTCAGCGCTCGCAACGCAAACGTCATGGGTTCGATTCCCGGGGAAAGCAATGTTGCTTGAATTCAATGTGAGTCGCTCAAATGCAGAAATGTACATGTTAATACAGTCAAACCAACATCACTCGGACTCCTTCAACATTTCTCACAATAACAGTTTATTCGCTATAGTTTATAAACACGAGCAGAACTCAGTTCTCAGATCAGTGGATATTTGACTGGTTTTGTCCATCCTTCTGTTAGACTCTCACACATGAATTATGTTGAATATCTGTCAGCTGGTAAATTTAACTACACAATTAGAGAATACCAGTTTAGCTCAACCAGTGACCAAGCAATGCTTCATGTTGTTCAGTGTGTGTGTAAAAAGAGCATTAGCAATTACAGAAAACACACTTCAGCAGAACATGATCAGCTCAAATCATTATTGGTTATAAGTTTCACTGGTAGTCACTGGATGAAGAATATTTGGGTGTAATATGTCACAGTTTACTTTATTTTGCTCTCCTCACTTACATAACTGCACTATAGTGTCCTGATCACACTAGTGGAACATGTATGATATCTGGTGTCTGAGTGATGTTTGGTTTGACTGTATATCAGTAATTACCCAGAAGTCAAAGCGCAGCTGTGTGTGTCGCTATAGACGTGTGTTATTACGCTTCATAAAGCCTGTCGTGATGATGAACAGGTCTGCAGTGTGTATGTTCTGTGGTTGTGTGTGACTGTTGCCGAACACACTTCAGGCTCACACCAGGTCAAAGGTCAAAGGGCTCCTGCTGCTCACCTTCCCTTCCTCTGCTGCTATTGGTCGGTTCTGTGAATGACCGGACCGTGGAAAGCTCTCAGCCAATGATATTCTGTGATGGTTTAGTGTAGTGAGTGTGTTTCTGCAGTGCTCTGTGTTAAGTGTGTGTGTGTGTGTGTGTGTGTGTGTGTTGTTGTGGTTTCACGTCACGTGTGTCAGTGCTTTTAGTGCAACATTCCGTGTTTTCGTGTTTTAAAGACTATTTTTCTACTGATTTTGAGCACATGAAGCAGTAAACCTGAACTCTGCTGTTCCGTGTTTATAACGCTCTGTAAATACAGTTGTGTAAAAATGTGCATTAAATATTTCTATCCATTACATGAACTTGAGACTCCTCATTCTGTCTGTAATCTGATTCATTCTGAGATGTTGTTCAAGAGACGGTAAACTTTATCATATTCTTATATATCAGCTTTGTAAAGTAGTTTTGAGTGGACTGGAGACCAAATTAAAGATTTCTGCATATAAGATGCAACACTTTACAGTAAGGTTAGTTATTGAACATTAATGTATTAACTAACATGAGCAATACATTTCTTACAGTATTTATTAATCTTTGTTAATGTTAGTTAATAATAATACAGCTGTTCATGTTAGTTCACAGTGCATTTTAATAATGTATTAGTACATGTTAAAATTAATATTAACTTAGATTAATAAATACTGTAGAAGTATTGTTCATTCTTAGCTCATGTTAACTAATGAATCTTTTTGTAAAGTGTTACAGACATGATTCGAATTACGTGGGAGCCAGTGGGAGCTGAGCTCCCATAGAGAGAGGATGAGCTCCCATGAAAGCAGTAAACTCCTACACCTGTGGGGGCTCGAAAAATCATCAGCACCATCATTTTAAATTACAAATAAAGCACGTTTTCCTTCAATAATCGAGGCATATTTGTTAACCCTTTCGCACGTACGTTCACAGCGGTGTGATTAGAACAGTCAGTGCATCACGTGATCAACTGCTAAATTTAAAAGTGCTTTCGCGCGTTGGCTGGCGCTGAGCCAGAGACAGATGCGCTCAATATACACAATATATCACAACTATTCAGTGTTTTCAACCACATAATGTTTATTTTAGGTTTCAGACATTTAAATACACAAAAGTAGCTACTAGCAAAAAAATGATTTGGGGGGACGCTAGGTAGGCCCCCACCAATATTTTAGCGAACTCCTTTCAGGGTTTTTTTCCTGCATGGAATTACGAGGCAGCCGCCTCCGGCTCTCAACAACATAATGTGATAATGTGTTGATTTTAATAAAGACACGGAACTCTTATCATGGTAAAACGCAATGAGCGTCACTCTTTTACTTTCGTTTTCAACAACGTAATTCTCTTTAGAGAAAATCAATCAAGGAAAACATGTCAGGGCATTTACTACAGTTGTAATTTTCAATGTAAATTATTTAATTTGATTGGTAACAGCCTACTGTCTTATTATTCTGATTTAATGTATTGATCAAATTAAGGAATATTTTAAAAGAAAGATGGAGCATAGGCTACATAAAATTAGAGGGGAAAATGCCCTATTTTAAAGGTAAAAAAATTATTCTGATAAGAGTGTTTGCCAACAGTGATGTAATGAAACATTGACAATTTAACTTTGAAGGGAGTAAAAAGCCTCTGTTAAGGATATTAAGGAAATGTAATTTTGGCCAAAGAATAACTTTTAATTTAAATAAATGTTAATTTTAAATCAGCCTACTTTAGTGTGATATTTTACCATATTATCATGCTTAACATTGAGAATTTGAAAAATTGTAATGATGATCAGATGCAGATCTAAATCAAAGAATATCATATGTTTGGGCGGTTGGATTATTTTTAACAGCGGATTCGGGTGACTCAAAGTGCAGCAGATTAATGAATTTATCTTTAAAATGTACAAAATTTTCTTCCTGGGGGGGGCATGCCCCCAGACCCCCCTAGAGGTAACGAACTACACCCAAATATTCTCTACACCTGGATTAAGAAACGTACGTTGAACTCAAAATAATGAAGTGCAGTATTTAGCTATTTATTTATCACATACACCACGCCTGCTCATGGGTTACTTTTTTTTCTTTCTTTAAAGAGACCCCCACAAAGATGAAATCATAATTCGAACCCTGGTTACAGATGTAATATTTTAATATCTCACTGTTTCCATTCTTACTTTTTTGCTTCTTGAAATATGAATTAATAAAAGAATGAATCCCCAAATGAAAGAAAACTAGATGAAGAGTGAGGAAAGCCTTGAGTTTGAACGCTGAAAGAGAACACACTCTTCACACTGCATGTCGGACTCATCACACACAGATCGGGGTTCCTGACACGCGTGTAAACACAGAAATCCGCACAAGATCCGATTTCATCCACATATCTGGTCTGATCCACTTCCTAATGTGGTTTTAAATCAGATCCATATCCGATATCTATATCAGTCTAAACACACATGTCAGATTCCCCGTAGAATAAGCCACTACAAGGCGAGCACGACACGTTTATTCACAAAGGGTTTTAATGTTGTATTATGAGGCAGGTGTGTGTGTGTGTGTGTGTGTGTGTGCGCGCGCGTGTGTGGTTTGGGAACTTTATATTTATCTTTATAAAGAAAAGAAATGGCGCGAACACAGAAACACTCGGGAGTGTTGAACCTCTGCCCGTGACTTATCAATAATATCCAGTATATTTCACAGCAATGAGGCGATAACTATAATCAAACCAACAAGCTTCACTATTATCACCCGCGCACTCTCTCTCTCTCTCTCTCTCTCTCTCTCTCTGACACACACACACACACACACACACAGCTCATGTGCAGGCAGCCAGGCACACACACACACACACGCGCGCGCGCAGAGCCCCTCCTGTGCAGGCAGGCAGGCACACACACACACACACACACACACACTCGTCTTCAGAGCGCATCATGTCCTCCTCGGGGAACTCCTCGAACCTCACGCGCCTGAACATGTTCGCGCAGTCTCCGTGGCGCGTGGCGCTGTGGTCGCTCGCGTTCGCGCTGGTTCTGGTGGTGTCGGTGACCGGGAACCTGATCGTGATCTGGATCATCGTCGCGCACAAGAGGATGAGGACCGTCACCAACTACTTTCTGCTGAACCTCGCGGTGTCCGATGCGTGCGTGGCCGCGCTCAACGCGCTGGTGAACTTCGTGTACGGCGCGCGCGGGCACTGGCACTTCAGCAGCGCGTACTGTCGCTTCCAGAACTTCTACCCGGTGACCGCAGTGTTCGCCAGTGTGTACTCGATCAGCGCCATCGCCTTGGACAGGTGAGACACACACACACACACACACACACACACACACCCCGCAGTGTTCGCCAGTGTGTACTCGATCAGCGCCATCGCCTTGGACAGGTGAGACACACACACACCACACACACACACACACACACACACCGCAGTGTTCGCCAGTGTGTACTCGATCAGCGCCATCGCCTTGGACAGGTGAGACCCACACACACACACACACACACTAACCCATCACACCAAAAATGAAGTGAGTTGATACTTAAAACAAGCAAAATGATCTGCCGATGGGGTCAGAAAAATAATGTTGTTTCTGTTTGAATTATGATTATTTTTCTCACTCCATTGTCAGATAATTTTGCTTGTTTTAAGCATCAACTCACTTAATTTTGATTAATTCCCCCAGAAATCAGGACATAATATCAAATGTTATTTTACTCATCTAGTAAATGCATCTTGATTTAGGAAACATATTATTTCTTATATTCTGATATACGTCTTATACTCCTGATATTTGGACTGGAAGCAAGAGTAAGAACAGCATGTTTTACAGTGCGTCCGGATTACATTCATACTATATTTAGCAGTCGTTATTCAGAATAAGAATCTCCTCAAGAGAGTGTGTGATGTCGGATGCAGCCTGAACTTTTAACCGCATGTACAGGTGACTCTTACGTAAGCGGGTCACTTCCTGTGTCACTTCCTGTGTGGTCAGGTACATGGCGATCATCCACCCGATGAAGCCCCGCCTCTCGGCGACGGCCACCAGGGCGGTGATTGTGTGTGTGTGGACGCTGGCGGCGTGTCTGGCGTTCCCGCTCTGCTTTTACTCCGTGACGGAAGTGAGGCCGCACCGGACGGTCTGCTACGTGTCCTGGCCGCGGCGCGACGCCGACGCCTTCATGTGAGCGCCGCTGGTGTGTGTGTGCCGCTGCTGCTCTCCGCCAGCGCCTCATGAGCGTGTGTGTGTGTGTGTGTGGACAGATATCACCTGATAGTGGCGGCGCTGGTGTATCTCCTGCCTCTGGCGCTCATGGCCGTCGTCTACACCCGGGTGGGGCTCACGCTGTGGGCCGGAGGGTTCCCCGGACACTCCTCGGGAAACTCCCAGGATCACCTGCAGGCCAAGAGAAAGGTCTCGCTACTCTTCCACTCGCAGACACTGACACACACGCATGTAGAGCGGTCCTTCTCCACCAAAGGGCCTCACAAGCGGCCAATTAAAGGTGCAGTGTGTGATATTTAGCAGTTCAGTGGTGTATAAAGACCTCACATAATGAAGCGTTATGTGTTTATTAGCTTAGAATGAGGCATTTCTCTCCACACACACACCGCGGGTCCGCTTACACCGACATGTTTCTACGGTGGCCCTGAGCGGACACACGCGTTTCGGCACTATAACGGCTTTCGCACCGGAGGATCCTCTTCATCGCTCCGACAACTATTGGCGGGAGTTCCCGGAGTTAGGTGTGTTCGCACCGCAGGAACTAGGAACTGTTTCAGCTCTAGGAACTCTTTTGGGGGAACTGATTTATTCCAGAGTCGCTCTAAACCAGCGCTAGAGACCGATTCCGAGCCGACGTCACAGTTACGTCACAGCACTAGCTCGAGGCAAAACAAAGTGAAAACTGGAGGCGGACAATACAAACCAGCACAGATTTGGCTACATAATAAGGAGCTTAAATTATTCTTCTTATTATTAAATGTCATCTTGTTGTGTTGTTGGGTGAAAAATGAATATGCTGTATCTGAAATGTTTATTTCTAGAAAATATTCACATCATTAAAACTGCACCGTAATGTCACTCTTTACATTGTCGTCTTCTCGGCGCTGGCTCGGCAGAACTGCGGATCGCACACACAAGTCTTTACATGACCATCCAGCACATAGTTATAGGCATCTAAAGATTTATATGTCCTCAGTTTCTCTTTACGCTCGGTTTCTCTATCGGATAGGTGTAGAAGTCCGGCCACTCAACCGGAGGTAGCGTTAGCGTTAATCCTGTCAGATCGTCCATCATTGACAGCGTGTACAGTACAGGTCAGCCAATGTGGTTCCGTCCGTTAAAATGAACTTTTGCAAATAACAATCGCGGTCCTGGACACTGAGTGACCTTGCAAATTAAGATAAAATCAGATTTTCTCCAGTCATTGTTAAAAAACAAGCTAACAAAAACGTTAGGGAAGCGGCCAGAGGGATCGTTCTGCCTAGACGAGTAACAATAATATTCACAATAACATTAAGTAAATTAAGTAAACCTAAGCTCTTCATTTATCTTTGTAAAGAAACCGCTTAACTGCCTACTCTCTGCTGTCTCAGACGATGACATCACTTCCTGTCGGCCACTGTAACTTCTGTTGGGTGCAATTCACAACCTCACCACTGGAGGACGCTAAACATTACACACTGCAACTTTAAAATAATCCATATATAATCTAAATTAAAATGCTTCTTCCTTTAAACTTCTGGAATCACAAAACAATGTAATTTCACACCGAGAACGTTAACTACATTAGCGTCCACGCCAGCGGACGATATCGTTCTGTTTATTATAAGCGCTGCAGTTCGTCTGTCTCTTTAAATGCTCCAGCTCTTTATAGCAGGATGGATTCTGATTGGCTGTCAATGTTTTTATCTTTCATCTGCTGGAAAAAATTGTTCTGAAAGTGATTCCAAAGATATCGTTCCTTTGTGTCGTTATAGGGGCTGTTTACACCACACCGTTTTCAACTAAAAACGTAAAACATTTTATGCGTTTTGGCCGTTCGTTTACACAACAACGGCGTTTGGGGCGCCTGAACACGCAAATTTTTGGAAACTGGTTTCAAAGTGCAAGTTTTTGAAAATGGTCTCGGTGTAAACAATGAAAACGTGAATCTCTGAAGGCGATGACATCATGCACATGTGTATTACGTGTTCAGTCACTAGCGTTTCATCGCCATCTACTGGCCCGGCAGCAGAATACAGCGTTTCAGTGGTGTTCGCGGATCCGTGTGAACGGGGGTCGTTTGGATAATGGTGTCTGTACGCGGAAAACTCAAAGGAAACACTTCTCTGTTTTAAGCGTATCGTTGTCGTGTAAATGTACTCTAAGTTGCGGTTAGTAGACTGTACTGTAAATTAACTAGTTTTTCGAAGTTTGTTTTTTTCAAGCGTGTGTAAGTGTTTTCTCCGTCTTATGACCCAGGTTGCTGTAATGTTGTGTGTAGGTTGTGAAGATGATGTTGATCGTGGTGGTGACATTCGCCATCTGTTGGCTCCCATATCATGTGTATTTCATCGTGACGAGCTTCAACCGTAAGCTGAGGAGAATGCAGTCGATCCAGCAGATCTATCTGTCGGTGCTGTGGCTCTCGGTCAGCTGCTCCATGTACAACCCCATCATCTACTGCTGCCTCAACAGCAGGTGTGTATCTAGCACACACACACACACATACACCACTGACAACCTGTTTAAGACAGGGTTTACAATTTACCATGTGTGCTTCTCTAGAGAACTAAAGTGTCTTTAACACTCTCACTATTAACAAGTTGCTTATTAGCATGCATATTAGTCAAGTCGAGTCACCTTTATTTATATAGCGCTTTTTACAATACAGATTGTATCAAAGCAGCTTCACAGTGATAACATGAAAATAATACAACAAAGTTTGTTTCTAGAAGAAAATTGCATCATCGTCCACCTGAAGTAAGTCAGATAATATAGTTGAATATTAAATGTCCCCAACTAAGCAGCCAAAAGCCAAGGCAACAGTGGAGGAACCCAAACTCCATCAGGGACAGAATGGAGAATAAAACCTTGGGAGAACCCAGACTCAGTCGCTCAGTTCTCCTCTGGCCAACGAGAGAACAGTGTGTGATGATTATGATCAGGCAGCATTACAGGTCAGAGGTCAGATTGGATCAGAATATTATCCAGTTCCTCTGGTTGGAGGTCGGAGTCACGCCGGGATGGAGACGAGGTGTTGAGGTGTCCATGAGCCTTCACAGCGCTGATGAGGCTGGCACTGCAGGGATGCGTTGTGGACGTGTCCAGGCACAGGTCCACCGGCTGATCTAGATACGGCCCGGGTCCGGCTGACTACAGTTAACCTCAGAATAAATGGAAAGACTAACATTAGCGTAGATGCCATTCTTCTTAGGATGTAGCGAGTACATCAGGTGTTATAGGAAGTGTTCCCGGTTCCGGCTGACCTAATCTATGCAGCCTAAGAATCATTTAACTGATTTGAATAATAGGAATGTATAGTGTGTTATGTGTATGCTAGGTCAAAGAGATGTGTTTTTAGTCTAGCTTTGAACTGACAGAGTGTGTCTGCTTCCCGGACAATGGTGGGAAGACTGTTCCAGAGTTTTGGTGCTAAATAGGAAAAGGATCTCCCGCCAGCAGTCGAATTAGATATTCTAGGTATTATCAGCTGGCCGGAGTTTAGAGATCGCAATAGACGTGAAGGACTATAATGCTTTAAGAGCTCGCTCAAGTACTAGGAGCTAAACCATTTAGTGCTTTGTAAGTAATCAGCAATATTTAAAAATGTATACGATGTTTAATAGGGAGCCAATGCAGTGTTGACAGAACCGGGCTAATATGGTCATACTTCCTGGTTCTGGTAAGAACTCGAGCGGCTGCGTTTTGGACCAGCTGGAGTTTGTTTATTAAGCGTGCAGGGCAACCACCCAGTAGAGCATTACAGTAATCTAGCCTTGAGCTCATGAACGCATGAACTAATTGTTCCGCATTCGTCAATGAGAGCATATGACGTAATTTAGATATATTTTTAAGATGGAAGAATGCGGTTTTACAGATACTAGACACGTGACTTTCAAATGAAAGATTGGTATTAAAGAGCACACACACACACACACACACACACACAGACACACACAGGTTCCTAACTAACGACGACGACTTGACAGAGCAGCCATCAAGTTTTAGACAGTATTCTAGGTTATTACATTTTTTCAGAGTTAAGTAGTAGGAAATTACTAGTCATCCAGTTTTTTATATCAGCTCTGCATTCCGTTCATTTTGTGAATTGGTTTCGTCAGTGACAGTGAAATTAACAGAATATTACTAGGATATTGCACTGTAAAACATGCTTTTCTTACTTAGTATTTTTGTCTTGTTTCAAGTGCAAATATCTACAAATTCTTAAAGGGGTCATATAATGCCATTTTTGTACAAGTTAATATGAATGTTTAGGGTCTAAATTAAAACTTTGTAATATAATTTTATTCAAAATTCTCATTAGTATTGTAAGAAAACACTTATTTTACCTGGTCAAAAACAGCTCTGTTTTCAGCACGCCGTTTCAGTGCATGTGCCTTTAAATGATAATAAGCTTCGCTGACTCCGCCCCTCTGTTCTGCGGGCGCTTTGACACAACGCACGTGGAGTGTTGCCTTGACAACAGTTGAGGGTATGTTTTGGAGAAAGAATGGCAGCGGAATCTCTGAGGACACATCTGTGCAAGCGTATCAGTTTGAACCGGAGTCGGACCCGGAACAAGATGACGGCCGCAAAGAAGTTCGACAATTGAGGCTCGAACAGGACGTTTCTGAATGGTTGGTTAACGTAATGTCACTTTGATCTATCTTTATATGCACTGGCAGGGTCAAGTAGTGAGATACGAACGCTGTGTTTACTGATGTATACGTTAGTTCATTGACAGATTGACGTTACAACTAATGGTCATGAAAAACTTTTTTTTGCGATTTGCAAAGATTAATATAAAGGTTAATAAAACTTTACACTCACTTCTTCTGGAGGTGCAGAGGGACACGAACAGCTGGTACCGATTCTGTTTTCACGAGCAGCTTCTTAGCAAATCCAGCTCATACTGACCCTCGTTTATAAAGCAGTCTGGTGAGAAATGATTCGCGCAAACATGAGAGCATTGACGTTGCTCGTGGGGAATATTCCCTTCGAAAACAAACTCAGCCACTGCGTCTTCAGCGGTTCGGATTTAGGAACATTAAAATGACTGTGTTCGTTATTACACCCAAGAACAGAACACCACAATCGCTTAGAGCCATTCTGCTCCAGCGTATCAACACTAGCGGACCATGATGACAGCTCGCTCAGGGCGGGTCTGTGTGGAAACGCTGCTGTCAATCAACAATCACGGGAGGGGCGTCCGTTTTATTGACGTCACACAGTCGAACGGCTCGATTTGAGGCAGGGGAAAACATATAAGGAGATTAAAACAAAAACACTGGATGGATTTTTATGATGGTTGTGTACAGGCACTGCCAACACACATTTCAGTACAATCAACTTGTAAAAGTGCATGTACCATTATATGACCCCTTTAAATCAAGATGCATTTACTAGATGGGTAAAATGACATAGGATATTATGTCTTAAATACTAAGTAAGAAAAGCATGTTTTGGTTCTGTTTCTGCCACAGGTTCCGGGCCGGATTCAAGCGTGTGTTTCGCTGGTGTCCCTTCGTTCACGAGTCGGACTCGGACAGACTGGAACTCCAGATGACCCGGTTCCAGCCGACCCGTCAGAGCAGCCTGTTCACGGTCACGCGCGTGGAGTCCGATGCTAACGCTAATCCCGCCCGACGCAAGAGCTCCAGCACCAGCCAATCACGGGCCTCCTCCCGGCCGTCACTCAATGGTGGTCTCCATGGAAACCCCTCGAGCGCCGCTGGGATGGAACTCGGATCAGAATCGCTCGCTAAACACTAAGATGCGGAATCAGCAGGACTTTCACCTCCAGTGGCATGCTGTTCTTACTCTGTGTTTCTGTCTTGTTTACAGTCCAAATATCAAACGTTTCTTAAATCAAGATGCATTTACTAGATGAGTGAAATGACATCAGATATTTTGTCCTGTTTTCCGGGGGAATTAATCAACACTAAGTGAGTTGATGCTTAAAACAAGCAAAATTATCTGCCGATGGGGTCAGAAAAATAATGTTGTTTCCGTTTGAATTAAGATTATTTTTCTGACCCCATTGGCAGATCATTTAGCTTTGGACTGGAAACACGACAAAACTACTAAGTGAGAAAAGCATTTTTTGCTCAGTCCACCAGCTTCACGTTGACCAGCTATTTGTACTCTTTCAGTTCAAATACAGTATATATAAACAAAAGTCACTGCACATGAAATTAAACACTTGGTTCTGAGGACGCACAGACACACACACACACAGGTCTGTTATCAGCCGTCAAATCGGTCCAACCACCGCCATTCTCTTATTAGACCGCGAGCAGGGTTTGAAATCGACCTTTCACTCGCCGGCAGATTTGGATACTTCATTTTTAAGTTACCGGCCATTCAGAACTTCTACTAGCCAGAGAGAAAAATATAAATGAACCAGATTAACTACGTAACTGCGTACTACAGGCGTACCACAGGCGTACCACAGGTGTACCACAGGCGTACCACAGGCGTACCACAGGCGTACCACAGGCGTACTACAGGCGTACCACAGGCGTAACACAGGCGTACTACAGGCGTACCACAGGCGTACCACAGGCGTACTACAGGCGTACCACAGGCGTACCACAGGCGTAACACAGGCGTACCACAGGCGTAACACAGGCGTACCACAGGTGTACCACAGGCGTACCACAGGCGTACTACAGGCGTACCACAGGCGTACCACAGGCGTACTACAGGCGTACCACAGGCGTACTACAGGCGTACCACAGGCGTACCACAGGCGTAACACAGGTGTACCACAGGCGTACCACAGGCGTACCACAGGTGTACCACAGGCGTACCACAGGCGTACCACAGGCGTACCACAGGTGTACCACAGGCGTACCACAGGCGTACCACAGGCGTACCACAGGCGTACCACAGGCGTACCACAGGCGTACCACAGGCGTACCACAGGCGTAACACAGGTGTACCACAGGCGTACCACAGGCGTACCACAGGTGTACCACAGGCGTACCACAGGCGTAACACAGGTGTACCACAGGCGTACCACAGGCGTACCACAGGTGTACCACAGGCGTACCACAGGCGTAACACAGGTGTACCACAGGCGTACCACAGGCGTACCACAGGCGTACCACAGGCGTACCACAGGCGTACCACAGGTGTACCACAGGCGTACCACAGGCGTACCACAGGCGTACTACAGGCGTACCACAGGCGTACCATAGGCGTACCACAGGCGTACCACAGGCGTACCACAGGCGTACTACAGGCGTACCACAGGCGTACTACAGGCGTACCATAGGCGTACCACAGGCGTTCCACAGGCGCCTGTGGTACGCCTGTGGTATGAGTTTCTTCGCTCATATCGAGCACAGCATGCGTGTTCTCTCACTCTCTCTCTCTCCACATGCGGCGGCTAAAGGCTACGTTTGCGCTGCGGCTAGAGTTTATCTAGTGTGTGTCTGTTTTTCACACGGCTGATCACACACATCAATCACACACACCTATTGCATGTTGTTTTGTAGGTTTGTGTAAGTCGGTCTCATCAGCTGTGTGTCTATATAACCTGCAGTATAATAATCAGAATAATAATAAAGTCTTGTGCTTTACCGCATGTATCGTCATCTTTGTGTTTTTAATAACAGTTCTGTTTATCATGTGCTGTAATTCACAGTTATTGACAGTGACAATCAGTGTGTGTGTGTGTGCGAGAGACACTGTGAGTCATGCTGTCGTGTTCAGATCTGGATTAAAGTAATTATATGTGTGGTTTTGTGAGTTGAACTGTGATTTCTTGATTCGTTGAGGTGTTCGTTCACTCGTGTAATGACTGTGTGTCTCTGATCAGGAAACTCACACTAAAGATTCACAGATGAGTCTCGTGGCGTTTGTCCAGATAAGACGATCTCCACTTACACAGATGCTGCACAGGCGACAATGACAGTGTGTGTGTGTGTGTGTGTGTGTGTGTGTGTGTGTGTGTGTGTGTGTGTGTGTGTGTGTGTGACACCAGTCATTGCTGTTAAC